CAAAATGAAATATTTGATCACATGCATTTTTTTGCACTAAAAAAAAAAGACTGACAATTTTGAAGGAAAAAAAAAATATTTTTTACTTTTTGCTATAAAACATGTCCAGTAAAAAAAAAAAAATATCAAATTTAGTCACAAATTTAGGCCCAAATGTATTCTGCTACATGTTTTTTGCTAAAAAAAAAATCCCAATACGTATAAATTCATTGGTTTACATGAAAGTTATAGCGTCTACAAATGGCAGTATTTATACTGGAATTTTTTTTTTTTTTCCAGTACTAGTAATGGCAGCGATCAGCGACTTATAGCGGGACTGTGGCAGGCATTCTGACACTGGGAGGGGACTAACTGCCACTGACATCCCCAGTGACACTAATACAGTGATCAGTGCTAATAAAAAGCACTGACACTGTACTGACACTAGGCAGAAAGGGGTTAACATCTGAGGTGATCAAAGGGTTATCTGTGTCTGTTTTACTATCTTGTCTGTGTGTGCTTTACTGTGTAAGCATGCTGCGTTGTATTGCTCTGTTATACGGAGCAATACAAAGCAGTGTGCTGGAGCCGACGGGAGAGATCTGTATTGTTTACATAAAGACTTCTCCTCTGTCAGTGTTCCTTGGCGATTGCCGGGTAATCTCCAGCCGGGACCCGGTGGTCGACAGCTGAAGCCCCCAATTGCGGCGCGGGTAGGACGGCGCACACACGCACCCCCTACCCGGAAATACAAAATCACGTATATATACGTAATTTTGAGCAGCCCTGCAGTAGTAGTTCTGCTATAGGGCAGTCAGGAAGCGGTTAATGAATTATAAAATATAGATATATCAAAAAATTGTTTGTAAAATATGAAAGATGTTATGCCGAGTAAGAAGATACCCATCATGTAATGCTTTAAAATTGTGCACGCTCATGGAATGGCGCCAAACTACAGTACTTAAAAATCTCCATGGGTGACGATTAAAATATTCTACAAGTTACCTGTTGAAGGTTACAGAGGCGGTCTAGTGATGGAATTATTGCTCTTGCTCTGATGTTCGCGGCAATACCTCACATGTTGGTTTGGGGGGGGGTTGGTTGGCTGAGGCACTTTAAACATTTTTTTTTTTTTAATATTTTATTACGTTCTTTTTTTACACTGTCCGTTTAAAAAGAAAATTGTACTCACTTTTATTACTATCACAAGGAATGCAAACATCTCTTGTCATAGAAATAAGCAGTTACAGGTCCTGTTTATGGACAGATATGGGGTCAATAAGACCCCACGTCTCCTCTACAATGTAAAACAGATTTAAAAAACAAAACAAAAAAAACCCTAAATGGCTTTGTTTACAAAGCTCCGGTACCAGAAGTGACATACTGACATCGCTCTGATCCTCCAAGGGCATAGACATGAGTGGAGGCCATCTTTCCTTCGCTGATCTCTATGCCCAGCACTGGGATCGTTGGATGGGTTCTCATGTAAGCGTGAGAACCACTGGGCAGAATGGGAAGACTACAAGTTCAGTCTTCCACCACAGCAGAACTTACAGAACCTGCTGGCACAAGTGCAATGAAATCACCACACGTGTAGTCCATTACTTCATAACAGAAACTTCATCCTGACCTAGCATTTAAATAATGCAAAAGCCTGGGCACTGGACACAACACACTGATCATAGTTGCAATGCACTGCAGACTTGAATGCATTTTTAAAGGATAAGCTCACCTATGAAAAAATAAAATAAATGCACATCTTTTTTCAGACAAAAAAAATGTGCATTTATTTATTTTTTTACTAGGAGCCTGCAAAGCATTGCACCCATGATCTGCTGATCACAGGTGCAATGCAAGGCTCTTGCAGACTGTCAGTGTAAGCTGTCAGCTCATATGGGCAGGCAGTTACACACTGACAGGATGCATCAATTAACTACCTAGAGCACTCAACAGCGCCCTAGTAGTTCATTGAGAACTACAAGCCGACAGCCGCAATGGCTTTCGGGACTTGTAGTTCTCCCATGCACATAACTGTGAATGAATGACATGGCTAGGTGAGCCACAGCCACATTTTAAAAGACTGCAACAGTGAGTGCAGGGAGAAGATTCCCCGGGGGGGGGGGGGGGGGGGGGTGCAATAGTAACAAGTTACACAATGAATATGGGTAAACTTAGCCTTAAAGCTTAACTCCACAAATAACGTACCTTTAAAGTTTTTTGGTGCCAAGCTAGCCCAATCCAACTGTTTACTGCACTAACAGATGTGCTTGCTGGGCATGCTGCATAAACTAAGGCTAGCTGCAGCTACATACAGTCTAGAGTGTTCTGGCAGTGGGAAAAGAACATCCCATCCTGTTCCTGAAACAAAACTGACTTGAGCTGAATGCTTTAGCCATTCACAGGAAGATTTGTATTCTATGAAAGATTACAAAGTTTCCTCTCATTTGCCAAGTCAGAAACTGTGAGTTATCTGTCCGTCCACCTCAGCCAATCAAAGGAGGTCTTGCATTCATTCATACAACACAAAGCTCCCTGTGAATGGCTGAGCAGCGCTCAGCCCAACTATTTTGCTCTGGCAGTGGCATGGGAAACTTCTGTCCCACTGCTGGAACAGAGGACTCTATAATGTATTCAGCTGAGGCTACAGTTTATAGTGAACGCAGCAAGGGCACTTGTTAGGGCAGTAAATAGTTTGTGTGGGCCAGGTTGGCTCAAACGTTTTTAACCACTTGTCCTCCTGAGGATTTACCCCCCTTCCTGACCAGGCCATTTTTTGCGATATGGCGCTGCGTTACGTTAAATTTACATTCTTTGTTCCCCCACGTATTGAGCTTTCTTTCGGTAGGATTTGATCGCCTTTGCATTTTTATTTTTTGCACTATAAAAAAAAAAAAGACCAACAATTTTGAGAAAACAATATTTGACTTTTTGCTATTAAACATGTCCAGTAAAAAAAAAATCCCAATACGTGTAAATTATTTGGTTTACGTGAAAGGTATAGCATTTACAAATGGCAGTATATTTACTGAAATTTTAATTTTTACTAGTAATGGCAATTAGTGAGTTATAGCAGGATTGTGGTGGGCATTCTGACACTGGTGGGAACTGATTTGGTGTCACTGACATCCATAGTGATTAGTGCTTAAAAAAAGAAAAAAAAAACAAAACATTGACATTGTACTAATGGCACTGGGCAGGAAGGGGTTAACATGAGGGGCGATCAACGGGTTGTGTGCAGAGAATGTTTTACTAGGGGCCATGTCAGGGTGCTTTACTGTAATCACACTGCTCTGGATGGCTGTGCTGTGCATCCACAGCAGTGTGCTTGTGCTGACAGAGGGGAATGTTAGTAAACAAAGCAGTCCTCCCGGTCAGAGATCTTCCGAGTAATTACTAGCCGGGAACCGGTAATTGACAGCCGCTGCCGCAAATGGTGGTGCAGGTAGGGCACACGCACGGCTTGCGCCCCCCTATCCGGAAATGCAAAATCACGTATATATCCACACGTGATTTTGCACACCCTTGCCGCCTTGTAGCAGTATATCTGCTATAGGGTGGACGGGAAGAGAGTAAAGGAAATTAATTGTGGGGGTTGTCTTAAATTTTTGTTTTTATTTTATTGATGTGGATGCATGTTATTAACGTGGGACTCCAGCCAAAATTGAAAAGTAGTTGCTGCTTTTTTAAAAAACAGACACTCACTTCACGGGTTGTTCCCATCAGTGTGGGCACCTGGCTGTGACAGCTTACAGCCTCATAACTAGGTGCCCACTGCACATGCGCGAGCAGCGCTGCACTAGTCTTTGGGGACCTGTCATGTGTCCCAAAAGACTATGGGGGGGGGTATGGTGAGGACAACTTCTGATTGCCTAGGCCAGGGGTGGGCAACTGTGGCCCTCCAGCTGTTATAGAACTACAAGTCCCATGAGGCATTGCAAAACTGACAGTTACAAGCATGACTCCCAAAGGCAGAGGCATGATGGGACTTGAAGTTCACCAACAGCTGGAGGGCCCAGTTGCCCACCCCTGGCCTAGGCAATCACAGCAGAAGTGGGAGCGGGTACCTGTCAAACTTGGGTACCCACTCCCCAAAGGTGGCAATCCTTAACAGGGAGCAGGAGACAAGGCCTTAAACCAGAACGTCCCCTTTTGGGTGGAGCTCCGCTTTAAAGTATAACTAAAGTTAAAACTCTTTTTTTAGTTTTGGAAGGAGTGCTGAGGGATTATAACTCGTCAGTTTGTATTACAGTCTTGGCCCCTATTAGGGAGATTCACCCTATTTGGCCCATTTATCATTGAAATTAAAAGAAAATCCTAAATTTTCGGTTGTCCCCAGCAAGTAATAGAGGGGAAATCTTCACTAGTTCTGGTGACCTGGGGGTCCTCAAAAGGACCTTTATTTGGCAGGGAATTTTTCCCACTTCCTGTTTTGGCTATGGGACAGGAAGTGAAGGGAAATGTCCCCAATGGGACACAGCTGGCAAAAAAAAAAAAAAAAAAAAAAAAGACAGGAGTTATAACCACCCCTTTACTCTATGCAAATCAAATTGATGGAAAAAAAAAAAGTTTTGCCTATAGTCCTACTTTCATTTTTTGCAAAAGATGGATTATAGCTTTAACAATCTCAGAAAGCTCTCAAACTGAGGTCATTGTCAAAAGCCCAGTCATCCTAAAGATGCTGTAATACAATAGGTGTTGGCTTCCACTGCACACTCCATGCATCCACCTGTACCCCCCACCACCCCCCAAGTACACACATGGTTGGGACAATGCTGGGCCGCCATGTGTCAGACACGCCCGCTGAAACAAAGGAACATCCCTCTCTACCACAGCACCAGTGCGGAGTTACATCATTTCTAGGAAAACTCTTAGAAAGTAACAAGTCCGCCGCCAGCCCCGACCTCAGACCGCCCACTACAGGGAAATGGAGGGAAGTCGGAGCACACCGGAGGATGGAAGGGACTCCTGCATGGAGCACACCCCCGCCCGCAGCACTGTATGAAAACCCACAGTACACACACCCAGCACACTGCTCCCCCTGCGCCGTCACCACACACTCCTCTCCCAGGCTTCGCAGGAGGCCCAGAGCCGCCTCACACTGCAGCCCTGGATCCCCGGAGTCCACCAGACGGTGCAGCTGGTGCAGACTGCCCAGAATACCGCCAGCCGACTCAGTTCGGAGCGCCTCGCTGCCTTCTCCTCCATCAGAGCGGGAACCGCCGGAGCTCATAAGCGACATGACACCAGCGGAGATTACACTGACAGTAGAGGCGGGGGCACCCGATACTGACTTCCCGGAGCCTGCGTCACATGACCGGGCAATTCCACAAGGGGCGGTGCTGGGCCGTGCCTCTGTCACATGACTGAGCAAGGTCAGAAGGGGAGAACTCCCTTTAAACACTTGCATACCGGGCACTTATACCCCCTTCCTGCCCAGGCCAAATTTCAGCTTTCAGCATCGTCGCACTTTGGATGACAAATTGTTGCACGGTCATGCAACACTGTACCCATATGAGCTTTTTATTTTTTTTCACACAAATAGAGCTTTATTTTGGTGGTATTTAGTAAGCATGCACTGAAATTTCAGCTACTGAAACATATCTGCCCAAAATAGCTATCAGCATTTTGCCGATCGGAAGAATTTAGCCCATACAAGGGTTTGCGTGTACTGCAGATGTGAGGGTGGGGTGGGAAGAAAATGTGTGTGGGGGGGGGCAGAGAAATGCAGTAGAGGAGCAGTGTATACAGTGACTGGCTGTCACTATGTCCATGTCGGTTTTTAAATGCAACTGACACTTTTTCCTGCTGAGAGAAACAGCTCCTTCTTGGAGCTATGGTAGAAAAAGAAAATCTGGCAATTGCATTTAAAAACCAGCACTGATATATAGTGATAGCCAGTAAGGGAGCGTATAAACTGCTCCCTCACCGTATACGCTGCCCCCTCTCCATATACGCTGCTCCCTGACCGTATACGCTGCCCCCTCTCCGTATACGCTGCCCCCTGACCGTATACGCTGCCCCCTCACCGTATACGCTGCCCCCTCTCCGTATACGCTGCCCCCCCGTATACGCTGCCCCCTCACCGTATACGCTGCCCCCTCTCCGTATACGCTGCTCCCTCTCCGTATACGCTGCCCCCTCACCGTATACGCTGCCCCCTCGCTCTCCGTATACGCTGCCCCCTCTCCGTATACGCTGCTCCCTGACTGTATACGCTGCCCCCTCTCCGTATACGCTGCTCCCTGACCGTATACGCTGCCCCCTCTCCGTATACGCTGCTCCCTCACCGTATACGCTGCCCCCTCTCCGTATACGCTGCCCCCTCTCCGTATACGCTGCCCCCTCTCCGTATACCCCCCTCACCGTATACGCTGCCCCCTCTCCGTATACGCTGCCCCCTCTCACCCGTATACGCTGCCCCCTGACCGTATACGCTGCCCCCTCTCCGTATACGCTGCTCCCTCACCGTATACGCTGCCCCCTCTCCGTATACGCTGCTCCCTCACCGTATACGCTGCCCCCTCACCGTATACGCTGTCCCCTCTCTCCGTATACGCTGCTCCCTGACCGTATACGCTGCCCCCTCTCCGTATACGCTGCTCCCTGACCGTATACGCTGCCCCCTCTCCGTATACGCTGCTCCCTGACCGTATACGCTGCCCCCTCTCCGTATACGCTGCTCCCTGACCGTATACGCTGCCCCCTCTCCGTATACGCTGCCCCCTCTCCGTATACGCTGCCCCCTCTCCGTATACGCTGCCCCCTCTCCGTATACGCTGCTCCCTCACTGTATACACTGGTCCTCCCCCCCCCCCCCCCACAAAGTGGACCTGTCACTCATATGCTATCATATAGGGGACTATTGGTCCCCTATGTGATAGCAATAAAATCATAAGTTAAAAAAAAAATAAAAATATACATGAAAGTAGAAAAATACAAAACAAATTGGAGCCTCCCCACCCCACATACACAGAGATTTCAATTTCAGTTCATTTTTCAGTCACATGCATTCCGAATTTTCGGTATCGGTTTCAGGACCAGAGTTTTTTTTATTTCAGTGCACCACTAGTATTTAATCACCTCTGAGTGTTTTATTTTTTGCACAATAAACAAAAAAAAGCCAAAAATTTAAAAAAAAAATTCTATTATAAAACTTTGCAAACAGGAAATTTTTCTCCTTCACTGATGGGTGTTGATGAGGCTGCACTGATAGGCAGCACTGATAGGTTGCACTGATATGCACAATGATGGGCACTGATGAGCAGGGCTGTGGTTAAGGGGGTACCACCAGTCCTCCTGTTCAGGGTCCAGGCAGCTGAGTGAATCAGGGCAATTACTGGAACTGATGAATGTCTCTCTGTGCAGCAGCTGAAATCTTCTCTCCCTCCTGATGGTTTTCAGCTGGTGCAGAGATCGACATACAGGGGATCGGTTGCCCCTCTGGCTGCAACCCTCACCCTCCCTGTGCACCATACATTGCCCCCACCCTCACAGTGCTGCCAGCTTGCCCCCTCTCCTACCCACCGGAAGCTGCAAGCACACAATAGGATCCTTCAGGATGCAGAGCGGGTAAAGGGTCTAGTAAATATGTCACATTTACCAGGCCCTTTCTTTCTTGAATTGACACAATAAACCGAAGCATAGTAAACTGTGTTTCTTTTGGGGAGGGCCCTGTCAGGTTGGCTGTTTGTGGCCCCGAGATTTCTAACAGCTGCCCTGCTGATAAGCGGCACCAACGGGCAACTCTGATTGACGGCACTGACAGCGCTGAATTGCGGCACTGACTGTCGTAACTGACAGGCACTGATGGGCTGCACTACTGGGCGCTGCTGGGGGGCATTTCTGGGCACTGATCATCAGGGCACTGATCATTAGTGCCGATCTCTTTTATGACAATTGCCGGTTATCGGCAGTACTTTCCTCACACTGCGACAGCGTGAGGACAGTGCTGCCGATAACCGGCAATTGTATTTACTTGGTGATCTGCTGTGTCATTGGACACAGCTGATCATGTGGTAAAAGGCCGCTGTGATTGGCCTTTTACCTCATCATGTGATCATCTGTGTCCATAGGGCACAGCAATCACGGAGATCGCCAGGTGCGCGCCTCTGGGCGCGTTCTGGGAGGACGTCATATGATGCCCTCCCAGAACTGGACAACCACGCTGTAGCCTTCATTCAGCTATAGTGCGGTTGGCAAGAGGTTAAAAGACCACTATTGGGAGGAAAATCTGATAGCTGCTACCTGGTGCACTTTAGCAAAGAGGAGGGAAGAGGGGGGTCTAATATTTAACTTTTTTCTTTCGTTTAAGACCTCACATTGGGGTTGATTTACTAAAATTGGGGAGTGCAAAATCTGGTGCAGCTGTGCATGGTAGTTTCTAATGTCAGCTTGTTCAATTAAAGTGACACTAATGCAGGCCATAGATGGGGAGAAAAACGGCAGATTTTTTCTTTTAAAAAACTAAAAATCGGTCGTTCAAGCGGCCGACGTTACCATCAATGGTAAAAAAAATCGTCCGATTTTCATCCTGTCTACAGCCGGCAAAAAGTGTCCCTGCAGAGAGCTCCGCTATTTCTTTGACAGTTCCTTGACATTTACAGAGGTTTGCAACAATGTATCTATTTGTATCCATTTAGGATACAGATGTTTTTATTCGGAAACAAATAGATACAATGTTGCAACCGCTGTAAATGTCAAGGAACTGTCAGAGAACTGTCAAAGAAATAGCGGAGCTCTCTGCAGAGACACTTTTTGCCATACTGGAATTCCTCTAATTTTTCATCCTTCTTCTTCTTCTCCTGCTTCATCATCATCCTCTTCTTCTTCTTCTTCATCATCATCCTCTTCTTCTTTTTCATCATCATCCTCTTCTTCTTCGTCATCATCATCCTCTTCTTCCTCTACTACTACTTCTTCATCATCATCATCTCTCTCTCCATCATCATCATCCTCTTCTTCTTCTTCTTTGTCATCATCATCCTCTTCTTCGACTTCTTCATCATCATCCTCTTCTTCTTCTTCTTCTTCCTCTTCATCATCATCATCCTCTTCCTCTACTTCTTCGTCTTCTACTTCTTCTTCCTCTTCATCATCATCATCCTCTTCTTCTACTTCTTCTTCCTCTTCATCATCATCCTCTTCTTCTTCTTCCTCTTCATCATCATCATCCTCTTCTTCTTCTTCTTCTTCTACTACTTCTTCCTCTTCTTCATCATCATCCTCTTCTTCTTCTACTTCTTCTTCCTCTTCTTCATCATCATCCTCTTCTTCTTCTTCTACTTCTTCTTCCTCTTCTTCATCATCATCATCATTCTTCTTCTTTCTACTACTTCTTCTTCATCATCATCATCCTCTTCTTCTACTACTCTTCTTCCTCTTCATCATCATCATCCTCTTCTTCTACTTCTCTTCTACTTCTTCTTCCTCTTCATCATCATCATCATCCTCTTCTTCTACTTCTTCTTCTACTTCCTCTTCATCATCATCATCCTCTTCTTCTACTTCTTCTTCTACTTCCTCTTCATCATCATCATCATCCTCTTCTTCTACTTCTTCTTCTTCTTCTCTTCATTCATCATCATCCTCTTCTTCTTCTACTTCTTCCTCTTCTTCATCATCATCATCCTTCTTCTTCTTCTTCTTCTACTTCTTCCTCTTCTTCATCATCATCCTCTTCTTCTTCTTCTTCTACTTCTTCCTCTTCTTCATCATCATCCTCTTCTTCTTCTTCTACTTCTTCTTCCTCTTCTTCTTCTTCATCATCATCATCCTCTTCTTCTTCTTCTACTACTTCTTCTTCCTCTTCATCATCCTCTTCTTCTACTTCTTCATCATCATCCTCTTCTTCTTTTTCTTCATCATCATCATCATCCTCTTCTTCTTCGTCTTCGTCATCATCATCTCTTCTTCTTCTATTCTTCATCGGCATCCTCTTCTTCTTCTACTACTTCGTCTTCCTCTTCATCATCATCATCCTCTTCTTCTTCTACTACTTCTTCTTCCTCTTCATCATCATCATCCTCTTCTTCTTCTTCATCATCATCCTCTTCTTCTTCTACTACTTCTTCTTCCTCTTCATCATCATCCTCTTCTTCTTCTTCCTCTTCATCATCCTCTTCTTCTACTTCTTCTTCCTCGTCATCATCTTCATCCTCTTCTTCTTCTTTTTCTTCTTTTTGTCTTCCTCTTGCAGGTCACTGCTCATGCGCAGATTTTTTATCAGTAAAAAATCGGCCGATTAGCCCATTATTGCAGCGAAAATCGGCCGATCGGCAAAATCGCCCGATTTTTTTCCAACTTTCCTGATTAAAAAAAACGGCCAAAATACCGAAAAACGGCCGAACAAATAGCCCACTAACGATCCGAAAATCGGCCGATTTTATTTTCGGCCGAAAAATCGGCCGATTTTCGACCCATCTATGGCCTGCATTAAGCTTTGCTTTGTGGGGGTTTTTTTTTATATAACAAACATGTCTTCTATATTTACCTGCTCTGTGCAGTAGTTTTGCATAGGGCAGCCTCGATCCTCTTCTTTTTGGGTCCCCTGCGGCGCTCCTGGCTCCTCCCCCTCGAGCAGTGTCCCGAGGGAAAGCTGATCGTCCTGGGGGCACCGCTACGTGCTCATCCCCATGCCACCAGTCTATGCGTCCATAAGATATATAGGGTCGTGGCTCCCCCCCTCACTCACTCTCTCCTCATTGGCTGTGATTGACAGCAGCGGGAGCCTTTGGGCACACGCTGCTGTATCAGTCAATGAGGAGGGAGAGTCCCCAGACAGTAGAGGCTGTCGAGAACATTGCTGGACCACAGGAGACTAAGGTAAGGATTGGGGGCACTGCTGCATACAGAAGGTGTTTTACCTTCATGCATAGAATACATGAAGGTAAAAAACCTTCACCCTTTACAACCACTTTAAGCTTTGATAATAAAACTTAGAAGCTGATTGGTTTCTATGCACACCTGCAACAACGTTTGCACTCTCCAGTTTTACAGTTGCAAGAAAAAGTATGTGAACCCCTTGGGATTACGTGGAGTTTTGCATGAATTGGGCATAAAATGTGCTCTGAACGTCATCTAAGTCACAACAATAGAAGAACACAGTCTGCTGAACATAATACTACACAAACATTAGATGTTGCCATGGTTTAATTGCACATAACATGTAAACATTCACAGTGCAAGGAGGAAAAAGTATGTGAGGCCCTAGCTTAATGACTTCTCCCAGAGCTAATTGGAGCCAGGAGTGAGCCAACCTTGACTCCAATCAGTGTGATGATATTGGATGTGTTGCTAACAGCTGTCCTGCCCTTAAAAAACACCTGTTTTGGGTTTACTGGTTTCAAGAAGCACTGTCTGATGTGAACCATGCCTCGCAGAAAAGAGCTCTCAGAAGACCTACATTTTATGCCCAATTCATGACCAGAGCATGGATGATCATCCGTTTACACCCGTTAATGTCCGTATCCGTTAACATCTGTTTTTTTGAATGGAAGAAAACCCTATTTTTCTTTCGTACAAAACCACAAAAAAACGGAATGGATGAAAAACGAATGTAAACGGATGAAAAGCAGATGAATAGCTGGCAATAGGAAATTCCTCCATTCAATCTAAGTGGCAAGGATTGTGAAGGTTCTGTTAAAAAATTTAAAAAAAAGCCCTACAGCGCCGCACTTTCACTTCTGCTGGTGCTCTCATCTTTGCCTGCTCTTCCTTCCATGTTTGTGCTCTCTGGCAGTTTAAATAGCAGGACCGCAATTACATCATTCTTGCACCTAGGAGTCATCATGACACAGAATCTCTGCATTTATGGCACACTCAGTGTGCCGTGAATGCAGAGCGTCACTGAGCATGCGCAGCGTTATCATCGCCATTGCCAATGTGAATATCTCCTAAACGATGCAAGTTTAGGAGATATTCACCATGCCTACAGGTAAACTATATTATAAACCTGTAGGTACAATTTAAACATGGTAGTTTACTACCACTTTAAAGTGGAACTCCACCCAAAAAGGGAAGTTCCGCTTTAAGCCTTTGTCCCCCGCTCTCCCTTAAGGATTGGAACCTTTGGGGAATGGAGGGGGGGGGAGCAGGTACTCAAATCTGACAGGTACCCTGTCAGATTGTGATACAAAAGGTATGTGAGAAATGAGCAGATGGAGAGTATAGAAGTACAGTTTTTAGATGGAGGCAGCATAAGCTTTCCTGGAGAGATGCGGTTTCATAGACTGCTATGGGGATGCAAAACCCACTTGAAGCGAACAAAAGCCACTCAACACAGGACCTAAAACAGGATTTCTAAATCGGGGTTTTACCACAGGTCACCATTCCAGCAGATGCATATATCTAGCCAATGGTGGCTTTAATTTCCTGCTGCTGAATAGCTCTAAAGGACACTGACTGATATCTGCCCTACGGGGCCTGTAAAACCAGGATTGCACAGAGCGGCCCCTTACCTCCTCTTTGGGAGTAGAGATGTGCACAATGGGGAAATTTGTTTCACTTTGGATTCATTTGTTAGAATGATTCGTATTTGGAATTCATTTTGTATATTCGGATTCATTTTGTATATTCATTATTTTCCAATTGATTAGAATTTAGAATTTCGGAAGACCGCTATTATTCATGGTATTCTATTCTATTCAAATTTCAAAGATGGCTATATTCTTTCTAGTTTATTCTTTCCTACTTGAAATTCATATTTTGGAAGACAACTATATTCTTTGTTTTATTCTATTCGAAATTCACATTTCGGAAGATGGCTATAATCTTTCTATTCTATTTCCAAATTTTGGAGGAGACAGCTATATACTGTTTATTTTATTCTATTTGAATTTTGGAAGACGGCTATATCCTTTCTATTCTATTTTTTATTCTATCCCTTTATTTTATATTCTATTCTCTTCTGTTCTATTCTACTTCTTTATATTATATTCTTTTAATTTCCATTCTATATTATTCTACTTTTTTATGCAGTTTTTTTTTTCTTTTCTATCCTATCATTTTTTATTCTCTCTTTTCTATCTTTTTTTTCCATTTCTGCTTTTCTATCCTACTCTAGTCTATTGTTTTATTTTATTATTTTCTATAAAGCAGCCTAAGTAGGAATTATCTTATTTCACTTTTACACCTTATTGTATTTTTTGCAATATGTTTCCATTTCAAACTCATTTTCCTGCAAAAAAAATGTGCATTTATTATTTTTTTTGTCAAAAGGTGAACTTATCCTTTAAAGGAGAGGTATAGCCAAACCTTTTTGACTGTACTCCTTTGGCTCACATGAGTGCTACCCTGAATAATTATTATTATATACTATTGTTCTAGGAATGGGTTGCCGCTGACACCTGGCTATACACCGGGATGGAATGGAATCAAAATGATCAGGGTTAATTTATCCTGACCGTCCTATTGTTTGTTTCTATAGGCACAATAGTGCCATTTGTCAGTTTATTTCCACTGCACCTTTGGGCATTCATTTATGCCAAGTGTTTTATCACATGTGGTTTAGTACGTTTGTGATTTCACCCTGTTTAGGGACACAAGTAGGTTTACATATTGTGTTTTTATGTGTTTTGCACATTTATATTTTATTTAATATGGTTGATCAAACATCACTGTATATAATATGAACAATTGAGTTCATGATAATTATACACAGGATTCACTAGGGGTGTAATTAGAACCTCATTTTGATTTAATTATTTATATAAGTACAAGTGTGGGAGTGCAGCACCAATTTTGTTATAATTCTGATTGTTCTCTATAGGGAGGTGGATGTAAACTGACATGTCCATTTACACCTACCTTCGATCTGATAAAACCATGACCTGTTCCCCATTCATCCAGTGGTCGAATGTAAATAGACAGGTCCATTTATGTCCAACTGCCCCAAAGGAAACCACAGGCGGTGTCCATGTCCAATCTACACAAGTAAAGCAGACACGACCTATCATCCACCTGCTCAGCAGGAATCAGCAGACAGATCCCCATTGAGCAGGAGGATCACTTGGCAGAATCCACCTGTGTGAAAGGGCCCTAAAGATAAACAGACGTGAATGAATGATGCACGGGGTGCGAATGTTAGGGCTAGGTTCACTTTAGAACCAGCCATAGTAACATATATCCATGGATATAAAATCAATACGACTCAGTATGTGGGTGTCCAGTGCGCTGCCTGTGTGCTCATTCTAATCACCAGCGATGTCTGGCCTGTTCCCTGTGTAGAATGGCGCTCCTAACACTGCCAGACACACCACAACACGCTCCCTTCTCCCAAGACAACTCTTCAAACTCCACCAACTACAAACACAGCACAGACACGCCTACGTCTCTCTCTTCTCCAATAAGTGAGTGAGGACTATACCACAGGCAGGAAATTGAGGGGTGTATCAGAAGTCCGGGAATGCCGTGTTTAAGAAGTGACAGTGCATAAAAAAAACAAGTTTACCCTATTTACCCTGCATATTACTACAGGTCGCACGTATCACTACTGCCCATAGGGCCACTTTAGTACAGTTAGCTCATTTTGACAATCTCCTTCCTCCCCCAGCCCGGTCGGCCCATTCTAGAAAATGTATGTGCAGCAAAAACCCGCGAAACTGCTCACGTGACGTGCCGAGTGGCGCGAATTTTCTTGGCGGGAGAAGAGAGTGATCGAGCATTGTGTACGCTGCTGCTGGAACCATAAGAGGCGCCTATCAGGTCAGTGTATGGCTGTGCTTCCCTTGGTGGTGTGTAATGGCTGATATCAGTGTAGGGCAGTCTGTGGCTCTCCAGCTGTTGTATTGCAGAGTGCCCTCAGCAGAGCCGTGTGTGCTGTCCTGGGCTCCTGCACACCTGGAGAGCTGTGAGTGCTGTGCACAGGGAGGTGTACCCTATGTGTATACACTTGTACTTCTCCCAGGTTATTGCCAGCCTGATGTACCTGTCATGTCAGAGCCCCTGCCTGTGAGTCGCCATTCCTCAGTCTCTGTGCTGCTTGTCATACCGCCTACACTTGTATTAAATGGCATTCTGTAACACCATTAAAAAAATGTAACCATGCATTTTGCTGCTCCTAAATGATAGGCATGCACAGGTATCAGCATGTAGATTGATGTGTACAAGTGCTTGGGGCCCATTGGTGCTGCTTGTGTACTAAACGGCAGCGTTTGAGCCAGTGGTTGGGGGGGGGGGGGGGTGTTATACGTCTCAGCAAATCAGATTTTTATTTTTTTAGCAACTTTGTCACTGCAAGCCAGCATAGTACAGTGACATGTGATCGCTTCCCGTACTTTGCAATACAAATTGCAGCATCTCTATTTTAACCACTTGCCCTCCAGAGGGTTTGCCCCCCCTTCCTGACCAGGCCATTTTTTTGCAATATGGCACTGCGTTACTTAATTGACAACTGCGCGGTCATGCAACGCTGCACCCAAATGAACTTGCGTCCTTTT